GTATCCCATGACATATAAGGCCTTAAAAAGAAAATTCTGGGTCTGGGTGTGTGTGTCTCGGTGGTAGAGCACTTGCCTAGCATGCACAAGGCCCTCAGTTTGACAAATGACCTTGTGTACCTCCTTTTTTGAATAGCAAGGAAAACCTTCCAAAAACATTTTAAGCAAAGTAATCCTCACATCTTATTGGCCATGATTAGCTGTCCTTTACTAAGCCAGTGCTAGGCCTCACTATTGATTTAAATCAAGACTCACGTTCCTAGTATTGGATGAGGTTCACCTAAAGCACAAGTCCACATGGTACCAAATTAGGCTTATTCTGACAAGCTACAAGGTAACCAAAAGGGTGTCAGCTCTATGGCAGTGGTTCTTACCTGAAGCTGTAGCTCCTAGATTCTGTTGCTGGATGTACATTGCCTATAAAAGAAGAGAAGTCTGGTTCAGTGACATCTTTCCTGACCCATCTGTAAAACTGGATTACTGAGAACCATAGTGCTAGACCATAGCTCAGCAACTTGGATTTGTTGGGTCTCTAGACATCAAACAATGAGGATGGACATATGGTCCAGTGACCAAGGCTTGCTCTCTTTAGTACTTTTGCCATTTCTCCCAGCTCCTGTTCATCAGCAGACTGTGTCTTTGTTGGTCCATCTCCTCTAAAGCTATCACAGTGGAAATAGAGACCCTTGTCAATTTAGTTCCTTCCCAGATCCAGCCAGGGGTGCAGTGGTCTAATTACTGTTGGCTCAATTGCTTTATCTAAATTGGGAAGATAGTTTTTGACTAGCCTTTAAATTAAAAGGTTCATGATCAAACTCCCAAACATAGAATGACTTAAATCTCTGACAAAGGGAGAAACTCCTAATAGGAAAGGGAAGCTGTCCAGTTTGGGCCTAACATCTTTTATTATTCCTTGTCCTGTTAGGTAAAATAATCTTGAACAGAACCTGAAGAAACCTTCTGTACCCAGAGAACTAAGGAAGCCCTGAGACACCAGGCCTGCTTTAAGTGTCTAGAATCTACAAAAATAGATATTAGTGCAGGCTTTGACATACACAATCCCTAAGGGGCAAATGACAGTAAGCAATAACTCCACATAGAAAGACTTCTGCACAGTGATTTCTTCATGCTTGTCCTAAGTTTTGTTCCTTCCTGCAGTTTTTTCAGAATTTTGGTGTCTTGCCACTGAGAGAAATACCCCCTCCCCAACACACACACACACCTACTTTATCCTCTGCAACAATCTAGGATTAAGAAAATTCATTTTCTTAAAATATTTTTTTAGTTGTAGATGGACACAATATCTTTATTTTTTATTTGTTTTTATTTTTTTATGTGGTGCTAGGGATTGAACCCAGTGCCTCATCCATGCTAGGCAAGCGCTCCACCCTTGAGCCACAACCCTGGCCCTTAAGGAAACTTATTTTTAACAAGGTAATATTTTCTACAGTACTCTAATCATCTCAGAATTGTTTCAAAATCAACTATGATACCAATTTGAAATAAAGATTTAATGTGTCTCACCCCATACCTAACATCAGAATCTCTGAGGGTGGTTCGAAGTTCTGCACATTCTCCTATACATTGGTCTTAAGGGATCACTGAGCAAAGAGGGAAAGATCATTTTTGGACTTTTCCAAAAGGAAATAATGCACGCTTCATTGGTTATTGTGAGAACATCTATGTAAAGTAACTGCATAGTAGGTGAGGTTAAAAAAAAAGGGCGGGAGTCAACTTTTACAGTAGTGCCTAGAATATGATAGGTGCTCAATAAATATCTGTGATCAAATGAATTCAATAACTGCATTTTGTGGGTGACCCTACCTTCCACCCAAGGCCAATCTCAATATTTTCACTTTTAATAAAAACAAATAATAACCCCAAAATCATTACGAAGGATGTTACTTTTGCTGAATTTATTTTCCAAGAAAGTAACGTGAAAGGTTTCGCATTACACAATGAAGCTCCCCCATAACCTTTTAGAAGATGTTTCTTGAATTTCCACTCCCTATGGCAACTGCCACTGCCCTGCCCTAACCCGTCACTCCACCTTTTCTTTCTCTTAAGCGACTCTCCTCCAAGTATCTCTGCTTTCCTCCCCTTCTTAGGCCAAACTCCAGCTGATCTTTACCACACCAGAAGTCCACTACAGGTCTGTCCCTTGGTACACACAGGGCACTCATGGCCTTGTTTCTTCAACTGTACTCCCATTCATCAAACAGCTCAGCAGATCCAAGTATCTTCACATCTTCCCCAGGATTCACTCTCCCCAGGCTGCTGGAGACAGGGTAGGATGAAAGAGGAGGCTTAAATATTACTGGTTCAGTTATTTTCCCCAATCCACTTAGAAGGTATTAAAAATTCTTTTTATGCATCATTAGAAATAATATCTTCAGGTTGTGGCTCAGTGGTAGAGCACTTGCCTAGCACGTGTGAGGCACTGGGTTTGATCTTCAGCATCACAAAAAATAAATAAATAAAATAAAGGTTTAAAAAATATAACATTTTTAAAAAAGAAATAATGTCTTCGGTTTAACTCCAAAGCAGATGAATATTTTTGCCTTGAACCAAATAAAAAATTTCTAAGTGGCCTTACGGTAAACTATTGTAAATAAATTACACTGTTACAATCCCTGCAAGAGATTGAAAAGGATGGAGTTTATAGTTCCTGAAGCAGTGGTTCCTAGATAGGCAAAAAATACATGCGCTATCTTGAAAACAGTACCATCCTTGCCTAAGTACTTAACAGTGAAACAAAATAAGTCCACTCAAGGATAAACAAGGGTTCTTGGAGAGCAAGGCTATTCCTGGGCTTTTGGCAAGGGGATAGTGTTGACCAGAAGGTTCTGGGAATCATATTTCAAATTACTTTTATCACATTTTCCCCAAGGAGAAAATAAGAAAACAACTGGTTGGAAATGAAAGATTACCTTCCTAGCTATCTGGCAAGACATCGTGTGGCTTCTTATCTCTTCCTTATCCTGTGAGATATTTTGTAACTATTCCTTTAAAAAAAAAAAAAAGAAGGAAAGAAAAAGAAAAAGAGGCAGATGTGGTGGTGGTGCACCCTTGTAATCCCAGTTACTTGGGAAGCTGAGGCAGGACTGCAAGTTCAAGGCAGGCCTGAGTGATTTATCAAAACTGTGTCTCAAAATAAAGGGGCTGGGGTTGTGGTTCAGCAGTAGAGTGTGTGCCCAGCATGTGGGAGGCCCTGAGTTTGATCCTCAGCACCACATAATAAAAAGTAAATAAATAAATAAACAAACAAACAAATAAATAAATATTTAAAAATTAAAAAATAAATAAATAGAATTTTAAAAGGGCCAGGCCTGTGCAAGGTTCTGGGATTGGCTAGAAAACCACAAGAAAGATGGGGCACTTCCCCCACCATGTTTTAGAAAATAGAACCCAAGAGTATAAAGAAATAGCAAGTAGAATATAAACCTGACTGATCAGGAAAATACATATTAAGCATTGAGAGGAATTTGTCCCACAGAATCCAATGGGCCGGCTTTACTGTGTTATTACACTTCCTGCTTTCATAGTTCAGTGTCTGGATTACTCCTTTCTTGCTTCCAGGCTTTTGGTGGAAGTGAATCATCATTTCTAAGGAATGAAGACTGCAATGATTCACGGGCAAGCTTATTGGACACCTCACGCTGCAAGAGCTCCTAAGAAGGAGACCTGCTTCTACTATTTACTGAGTGACCCTGGCCAAAATACTCATCAGGTCAGAACCTCTGCCTCTGTACTAAGACGGGAATTACAGGTGTTTAACTGCCTCACCAAAGATTTTGTGAGGGTCACTGAGACAATAGGAGAAATACTTCATAAGCAAGATGACTAAAACAGGATCCCAGCAATTCTGCCTCAGCGTCAAAATGGCATTTAACACATACCCAGGTGTAAGAGATTTCAGCCTCTCTACACAACCTCACCAAACCATCTCAAAACCGGGCACTTGCTAGGGAAAGCCAGGGTTTGAACACATTCTGGGAGACCTAGGGAGGATCTTGAGACTATCTGCCAGACTCTTGGTGGAATTACTCTTTCTGAATGCCAGCACAAGTTATTGTTGGTGGAATTGGGGGTGGGGTTCCAAGTAAAAGCTAGGAATGTTTTAAGAATGGTTTTCATTAGGGTGTGTCTTTGAGAGTGATGGGGGAGTAGTTTTCAGCAACTCTTTTTAAGTGCATGAAGTCCCAGTTTCCACTTAAGACCTCAACAGTCATCCTGTCACCTACTTCTGCTAGGGAACACACTTCCAACCCCCTTGCCCAGATTCTACTAATGGCCATATGAACTGCCCTCAGGATACACAGCAGCTAGTTAAGACTGTACTTGTGTCCCGGTAGGAAAATTATTAGATTAAGGCTTCCAAGTTTTAGTATTTTTTCCACTGTTCCTTTGCTCCACTAACCTCTACTAGGCAAAGTGTATCCAAGGACTCCATCCAGGGACCAGTGGGAAGAGAGCACTGAACCAATGTATTCTAGAAATGTCAGGATGTAGGACTGTCAAGAGATCTCCAAAGGATCTTACATACGGATTTACCCAACAGTTCTAGGAGCCAAAGCGCCTTCCTCAAGGGAGCCCCTATCTGACATCCCCCGGCTCCTGTCTGCAACTAAGAGCTGGGTCCTGGGAAGACTCTTCCCGCACTCCCCAACCCGCGCCTTCCGCTACTCGACGATGCAGACATCTTCATTCACCATCGCCACCACCCCCGCCAAGGGCTTACAGCTTCAATAAAACACGATCGTGGGAGCCTGTTTTCAATGGGCGGGTTTCGAGAAAGGTTCTCTCGGCCTTTCAGCGCGGGACTCCAGCGGAGGGGGTCGGTGGGGCGGGGCGGGGCCCACTGTGCTCCGCCCCGCCCGCGCGGTCCCTTTCACCCGCTCGGCAACCCGAGGCGCCCAGACCCGCGGGCGGGCGCGCCCCAGTCCGCAGGCCCAGTGTCCGCGGCCGGCGGGGCAGTGAGGCGGCGTCGGCTGTGCGCCCCGGGGCTGCGGTGGCGGCTGTCGCGGAACCAGGCAGAAGCCCGCAGGTGCCCGGCTCCGGGGCCGCCGGGACCCGGGCAGGGCGGGCCCCGGGCTCCTCCATGCTACCAGCCCCGGGGCTGCGGAGGTGGCCGGGAGGTGCCCGCGATGGCGGCAGAAGAGGAGGCTGCGGCGGGAGGTGAGATTGCAGGCGGTCGGCGGTGGCTCCAGGTGGGGCGCGCGGCGCGGGGTTGTCCCCAGCCTGGGCTCTGGGCAGCGATCGGCCAGCACAGCGACGCCAGGTCTGCCCACTTTGCAGCAGGGAAAGGCCGGCGCGCGTCCCCTCCGCCCCAACATCTCTTCCGATGGTCTCTGGGACCACGGCCGTCCCTTAGGGCACTGGTGCTGCTGGGCGCCCGGGGTGCCCTCTCGGGGAGTGGGACTCAGGGAGTGGAGCCCGGGAACGCCGCCGGCTCTCAGCAGCCTGCAGCGGGTTTCCAAGGTGGGCTTCGATCATCCTGCCCACCGTCACCCTGCGATGGTGAGCGACCTTCTTGCGCCAACCCTTGGGCGCCCACCGGGGCGTCTGCCTGCAGTGAACTTCAGATTCTTTTTTCTTTTGAACAAAGTAATTGTCTTCAGTACTGGAAGGAGCTCGGCTTCTAGGAGCCCATCCCCGCTAAGCTGGCAATACTCGTTTCCAGAACTGCCCCCCGGCCCCCGTGGGGGGAACAGGTGAGCGCGCGGAGGCAGGTCCACCACATTTCGCACCCTCCAACACCAGCCGGTTCTGCGATGTACCCCCAACACACCCGACGAGCGCCCGGCAGCCCTCGCCTTTACCTTTACACCTTGGGTAAACTGACCGGTGGAGTTGGCTCTCCCCTGCCCAAGCCCCTGTGGTGCTGGGATCCCACCCAGGGTCTCACGCCCGTTAGGCAAGTGCTCTACTCACTGAAGCGCACCCCGCCCTCCGTCCACCTTGATTTGTATTTTTGAGGAGCTTTTGTGAATCGAGTTGGGAGTTACACTGTCTTTTCCTCTTGCTTGTACTCTCTGGTAGTATTCTGTGGTTTCTTCATGGGACCGTGGTGACCACTACTCTCAATTATAGAATAATTATAAAAAGCTGTTATTTAAAGCAGATGGGAGGCAGGGGAAAAAAACAAGTAGCTAAAGGAAGGCAGGCAGAGAGAAGTCATTTGTTTAAATGACCACTTTCCTTGTGGAATATGGTGATGGAGTTTTAGATTCTTCTCTGAAAAATGGCACTGAGAAGAGGTAGCTTTCAAAATTTAATGCAGTGGTGGGAATGTAAATGAAGGGACATATCAAAAATTCTATGGTTTGAATATTTATAGTCTTCCCAGATGATGCAAAGACATGGGTAAACTTTTCTTGAAAAGAGACGACCCCCTCTCTATTCTGGCTTGTGACTGAGCTCTGCTTTATTATGTCAGTAAAGCTAAATCCTTTTGCTTTAGTTTCCTCCTCTATAAAATGAGGCTAACTGTAGTTATCTGCTTTATGGGATTGTTAGGATTAAATGAGATATTATAAATGTGTATAAAATGCTTAGGTCAGTACTTGGGAAATAGTAAATGCTCTGAAATATTGGCTTAATGTAATGATTCATTTATAGCTTCAATTTGCTTGGTGAAATTAATGAGTCCTGTCTCTTCCATTAAGAAAGTGTTGTCCCACATGAGTTAAAATTGGGCTTAAAAAGAAAAGAAAAGAAATACAAGTGCAGCTAGTAGTTCTAAAAGCAGCTTTCCTCAGATAAGTCTTATGGACTTGTGAGAAGTTTTTAGATAGTGTATTTCTTTCTGTTTAGCTGAATACCAAAGGTGAAGCAGATAACAATCAATCAAAATTAATCTTAGTAAATGGTTCCATGGAGGCTGAAATTATTGAGAAACTACTATGTCCTAGGCCTTTTACAAAAGGTACTTTCCTCAGTCTCACAGCAACCTTGTGATATTATCTGCATTTCACTAATAAGAAAACAGAGCTGGTTCCTGTGAATCAGCTGACCCTGGGGCAGGTGCAACCTGAAAACTACGGACCTGGAGTTAGACTCTGTGGTTGCTGCCAGTGCTTTCCTTTTTTCTAAGCTCTCTGGGTGGCACTGATAAAGTGTGCTTCCTTCCAGACACCTCTTTATATTAGGAGGGTGAAAAAAAATGTTTTTGTGGGCACAGTGGCACACACCTGTAATCCCAGCAGCTCTGGAGGCTGAGGCAGGAGGATTGCAAGTTCAAAGCCAGCCTCAGCAATGTAGTGAGGCCCAAAGCAAGTTAGACCCTGTCTCAAAATAAAAAATGGGTTGGGGATGTGACTCAGTAATAAAGTGCCCCTGGGTTCCATCCCCAGCACCAAAAAAAAAAAAAAAAAAAAAAAAAAAAAACCAATAAAAAAATGAACAATGAGCCTGGGATTGTGGCTCAGCAGTAAAGCACTTGCCTAGCATGGGCTAGGCCCTGGGTTTGCGCCTCAGCACCACATAAAAATAAATAAAATATAGATATTGTGTCCATCTACAACTAAAAAAAAATTTTTTAAATGAACAAGAAAAAAAAAAACTTTTTACTATTTCTCCTCATTCCTGGAGGGAAAACAAAATAAAAGCAGGTCTCTATAACTGACACAGGGGTCATATTTTTCTTACAGAAAATCCCTGAAAAGGGGCTGAGGTTGTGGCTCAGTGGTAGAGTGCTTGCCTTGCACATGTGAGGCACTGGATTCTATCCTCAGCACCACATAAAATAAATAAATAAGTAAAACAACTAAAAAAAATTTTAAAAGAATCCCTAAAAACTCCTTTTTTCCTAGGCACTTTGACATGGAGTTTTCATGGTCAAATTAAAATCTAAAACTGGTGATGGTGGCAGGGAACCAATGGTTTAGCGTACGCTGTTGGAAAAAAAAATAACAACTTAGGACTGGTTTGGAAGATGCCAGCTCACTTACATTTTTTGACAACTTGATGGTGTAACGCTGAGATTAGTTAGGCATGATGCCAAGTGACTGGGCATCTTCCTGGTAATGATTCCAGAGTCCTTGGAGCTAGGGAGAGGACATCTTGAGGGAGCCACACATGTCCAAGACTGCCAGAGTGTGTCTTGGCCCTGGGCATCTCTGGACAGCTTTCTCACCTTCCTTTTTCTTACCATTTCATGTTTTCACCCCTGACATTATCAGACCCAACTTTTTTTGAGATGTAGTTGTGCAATTTTAGTGACTTAAATTCATTTTTGTGACTCAAACCAAAAGTCATTTCCCAATCCACATTGCATAAGCTCCTGTTCCTAGCCTCAATTTCTAGGTGGAATTTCAACCACAAGTGCTTTATGCAAGATAAACTAGGATGGACTAATTATTTTTCATATGTGGAAGGGTTGAATTACTCAATGCTTGGGATCTGGGTCATTAGTCAGCATCAGCACTGTCATCTGCATTATCAGGGACTCAGAATGTGTCAGGTGCTCTGCAGGCGGCAAGGGCACCTAAGACATCTGTTCTGATGCAGTGATTTCCTGTCCTGTTTTTTGCTGCCTAGGGTGTCTCCCCTGGTTCTCAACATCCCAGCCTTCTAGAGTCCTGTGCCTGGGCAAGGGCCCCCTCCTTCCCTGTGGCAGGAGGCTGTAAAAGTTAAGAGCCCCCAAGTTTAAGCTCTTATTGCAGCTGGTATCTCAGGTGGCATATGTTCTGGGTAGTAGCAGATAGTATTTCTAGGTATTGGCTGATAATTTATGAAACACTCAGCTATGTGTATGCCCCACACTGTTTTCTTCTCCTACTTGGGCTCTGTCACTGGTCACTGGTACATACTATTAATATTATGTCCTGTTAAGTTAATATTACCTATCCAACTTTTTGACTTAAAATATTTTTAAACTTCTTTAAAAAATCAGTCCAGTTACACAATATTAAAATTCTTATCTGGAATACTTAAATGTTGGTTGGCATGATAGGAAACTGGACATTTTTTAATTTTTTTTTATTTTTAGTTGTAGATGGATACAATATCTTTATTTTATTTATTTATTTTTATGTAGTCTTAAGGATCGAACCCAGTGCCTCACCCATGCAAGGTAAGTGCTTTACCACTGAGCCACAACTCTGGCCCTGGACATTTATTTAAGTAAAATAATTATTGGGGTTTCTTTAGTCTTTAATCATCTGGCTTAAATCTCTAGATAGTATCTTGGAGTTAAAAACAAGCAGTCTAAGGGAAAAGGAAATGTAGAGAAAATCATCTTTCTACCTCATATGGCTTGCATTGTAGGATATTTAGAATTAAAGGTTAAGATCATTGTTATAAAACAATAACTTCCAAGACATTCAAAATGCTTAAACAATATTTTTCGACAGGGAGATGTAGCTCAGTGGTAGAGTACTTTCCTATCATTTGCAAGGCCCTGGGTTTCATCCCAGCATTGCAGAGGAAAAGAGAAGAAAAAAGAAAGAAAGAAAGAAAAAAGACTCTTTCTGGAGGGCTTCCCACTGGCCAAACAATACTTTGTGTATATTTTTAAGAGGTTATTTTATATTTTCCAAGCGCATTGCAGAGAAAGTGGGGAATTGTCTAGTCTTCTCTTACAGAACACCTCCTGTTGTCCCCCTGGTGTGGCTCCGTGCTGTTATATGGGAGGCTCTGCCTTTCCCCAACTGGCCTCTGGCTCAGTTGTCAGCTGTTCCTGAAGTGCCCTGCTCACCCTAGACCGGCCTGAAGAATTTTGTTTTTGGTGTGTTTGTTTGTTTGTTTTTTGATGGTGATCAGAATTGGACCCAGAGCCTAATATACACAGAGCATACAGTATACTACCCCTGAGCGACTCCCTTCCCCAAAGACTCTTACCATGCCGAATGAGCGCTGTCAATGCAAGTGACGTTGCTTTTGTCTGTCTCAGACAGACACTGTGGTGTGGGACAGTGAGCAGGATCTTGGAACCACACCTTTGGGTGTGTGGTTTCCAGTTTCATTATTTGTCAGCTATGTGACCATGGCCACAATATTTAGCTTCTCAGAACCTCAATTTACTTATCTATAAAATGGGGGTAAAAATACCTAACTCAGAAGGTGGTTGTGGCAATTAAATGAGATAATGTTGACAAACTGTTCAATGTACTCTGACCTTCACCAAATGCTTTTCTCCTTTTTCTCATGACTCCTTCCCAGAACTCCCCTCCAAA